TACTGCTCAGGGAAAAGTCCTAAGTGGCCAAACTTGGTGGTCTTCAGGCGAAATTTCAGCGGGCCTGCAGCGACTTCCCAGTTTTGCGGGAGACGATCGGCATCGAGCCAGTCTCCTTGAGTTTCGGTTCGGCGAACGTACTTGGCAGCCGCTTTCGACCAGATTTGAGGCTGAGAGGCCTTAAATCCTTCCGCCGATGGAGAATACCGATCGAGCAATACCGATCCGAATTGCTCCAGCTTTCGACCAGAGCCGAAGTCGAGCAAGCTATACTGAAAGGAAGCCAGATCGGCGTCGGTCATATGGGTTGGCAGTGGTACGGCTAGGGGCGATATTTTGGTTTTGCCCTGGAATAATTGGCAGTATCTTTCCACAATAACAGAACATGGCTCGCCTGTCGGCGTCCCCTGTTTCGAGATCGCTTGTGACACCTCGCCCAATTCTAAGTCTGTTCGCTTGCCTGATTTGGGTCGGCCACGTGTGGTGCTCGTTGGCTGCTGCCGCCGAGCCAGTCGCTGCTCCGGCTGCCGACGCTGCGGAAGCGCCTACGAAGGCTCAAATCGCGCAGTGGATCGATCAACTCGACAGCGATAAGTTTCTGTTGCGCGAAAATGCCACCCAGAAATTGATTTCTGCCAAGCGTGAAGCGATCCAGCCGTTGGCCGATGCCGTGCGGACAGGAAGTCTTGAGAAAGCCTTTCGCTGCATTCACGTGCTACGGGCTTTTGCCATTGGGGATGACATCGAAACCGAAGTCGAAGCTAGTGCCAAACTGGCCCTCATTGCCGCGACTGAGCATGATCGGGTGGCAGCCTATGCTGGGGACGTGCTCAAGAAGATTCAGCCTGTTCAGCAGGAACGTGCGATTCGCATCTTAAGCAGTCTCGGTGTGAAGTTCACTAGTTTCGGCCCGATCCAAGGGTTTCAAACGGTCGACGAAGGCCCTGGCGTATGGATTACGGACGCGTACACCGGAGATGCGAAACATCTGCATTACCTGCAGCACTTGTCGTTCATTGAAGATGTCCAGATCGAGAACGACAAAGTCACCGCCGACTGGTTTGCCGAGATCGCCAAGATGCCCAACGTTCGGCTTCTGACGGTAAAGGATGGCCCCGTCGATATCGAAATGCTTCGCGAGCTGGAACCGATCTTGCCAAAGCTGAACTGGATTCGACTTTATTACTTGAATCTGAAGGGGAGCCCTGCCCCGCTGTTTTCCAAGATGAATAGCCTCGGTAGTGCCGAACTTTACGGAATGGTGATCGACGGCGAAGAGCTTTTCCAGGATGAGAACGAGCAGCAAAGCATTATGGCTGCGTTGCCTGGACGCTTGCCAGAGAACATTAAGTTTCGCAGCGGTGGCTTTCTAGGAGTTCGCGGTTCCAATGATGCTACGCGTGGCCCGTGTGTCGTGCAAAGTGTCGATCAAGATACTGGGGCGTACAAAGCGGGGCTTCGTGGCGGCGATACCGTTACCGAGGTGAATGGAACGGAAGTCGAAAGTTTCATGCACTTGATCGAACTGCTGAAGGACAAAAAAGCTGGCGATCGGGTCGAAATGACGACCATTCGCGGCACTCAGACACGCAAGCTCGACGTGTTGTTGGGGAAGTGGCAGCTTCGCGAACTGTATTAGCGGGTGAACCTCTATTGCCCTCGCAAGGCGATTGCCCCTACGATACGGCTCGCCTTCGTGCCGCCAGAAGTGGCACGCGACAAAAGGAGTTGTCGGCCACATGCTATCACCTGCCCCTAGAATTCTTATTACGCGACTGAGTGCTCTGGGAGATACCGTCCTGACTCTGCCGGTGCTATGCGCACTGCGAAAGGAATTCCCCGCGGCACAAATTGGTTGGGTTGCCGAGCCGATGGCTGCCAAAGTGTTGGCCGATCGTACTGATCTCAACTTCCTTTTCACTGTTGAAAAAGGTTGGCTCACCAAGCCAGCCGAGATCAATCGCCTGCGTCGTGCCTTGTCGCGGCACAAGTTCGAGATCGTGTTGGACGTACAAGGCCTTACCAAAAGCGCCGCCGCTGGCTGGCTTTCCGGGCGAAAGCACCAAATCACCTTCACACGCGGGCAAGCGCGAGAACACGCTCCGAATCTGGCCGGTAGGCACATCACGCCGAAATCAACGTACATTGCCGAGAAGTACCTCGAGCTTCTCCAACCGCTGGGAATCGAGAACCCAGGGCTTGAGTTTCAGATGCCATACGATGCGGTGGCACACGAAACAATGGCCAGGCGGATGCCGGTAATTGCCTCGGGACGTTATGCCGTGCTGAACGTTGGTGCTGGATGGTTCTCGAAGACCTGGGTTCCGGCCCGCTTTGGAGAAGTCGCCGCCGATCTAAGCATGCGGTACGAGATTCCCAGTGTCTTGCTGTGGGGAAACGACGACGAGTACAAGTACGCCGAAGAAGCTGCTGAAACGGCTCGAGCCATCGCGCCGAATTCGGTCAGCATCCTACCGAAAATGTCGATCGCCGAAATGAAAGAAACGATTCGGCATGCGAACCTGTTAATCAGCGGCGATACGGGTCCACTACACTTCGGTGTAGCCCTCGAAACGCCGACGATTTCCTTGTTCGGAGTGACC